TTTTACCTCTAAAATTATTCTATCAACACAGACATTCACATCGACAGTCTGGTGTTATAACAGATTTGCTTTGGGTGCTTTGTGGAGTGGATAAGACTGTTTTTAGTGGCAGGCTAACTATGGCCATTGACATGCACTAGCCTGTGTGAATGTTTTTGATGAGATAACAACATTCTGCCATGGCTAAAAGCTCATAAGAGTACATTTTCCATAATATAGAACCTTTAAGCCCCTGTAAAAAAAATAAATAAAAAATTGTCTTGCCCCAGTACAGTTACATTGTTTAAGCAGCTCTTCAGGTCAAAATATATCTTCTGCATGTTGTTTACCTTTACTTACGAAGTGTTTTTTTGTCTGATAATCTTACCGTGATGGCAAAACTCAACTCTGGTCTCTGAAAGTTCTGATTTTAGTTCATACACTCATCTCAGTGAATAATTAGAATGCTCAAAATGCAAAAGGTAAGTGAGGAACAACTTTGGACAACTGCAAACTGTTGAAAATGAACTAGCTCTGTTTTTTCATGTTTTTAAGACAGTAAAAATCAGGTACAGCTTCTTTAAAATAAGGAGATCTTGTGTGTTATGCCATGTTAAAGCACAATGTGGATTTTTTGGAACTTTATACCTTATACTTTATACTTTATACTACTGAACTGAAAAAACAACATCCAGATATTTACTCCTGAAACCTTCTCTACATGGACCACTCCTGGACAAATGAGGGATTACACCGACTCAAGTCAGTAAGGTAATTAAAGCTTCACACTCCCTTTTACAGCCAGCAGATGGCGCACAACAAGCTCCTATTACTGCAATCAAGGCTGAATTTGCTTCACCAAACACGCAGACTTTTCTAAATTATGAAGAAAAAATTAAAGGGCCCATATTACGCTGTTTTCTGATCTATGTTTTAATGTTGTTTCCTCATCAAAAACAGACCTGGAGTTGTGTTTTGTTTCATTCACACATGTTTAACACAAAGACTAATCATAATAAGGCTTCTCTCAAACAGAAAACACTCAGTTCCACCTTGTGATGTCATGTGGTAATACAAGAAGTGCTCCACTGTGTTTTTCATCTTCATACACTTTCACTAGAATCATTTGGATGATTTCAGCCCTTCTACTGTCTACTGAACTAAACAAAAAGGCAGCTGCTAACTTGAAAACCACCACATGACATCACAAGGTGGAACGCAGCATGAGATGAAGACAGACTAATAATAAAGGATTACTCAGACACAACTCCAGGTATGTTTTTGAGGAGGTAACAACATTCTAACATGACTTAAAGCTCACAAGATAATGCAATGGTAATGTGTTGTTGTCCACTATTATTCAAATCCACAATAAAACATAATAAGACAGATTTGCATAGTGGATTTTTCACTGTTTATTGTCTATGCTGCTCATATTGGTAAACAGCCTCAGTCCATGTGCATAAATCTTGTGGTGCCAATGGGTAAAGGGAATCATTATAAACAGGCTGGACACAGGATCCACTAATGAACAAATGAAACACTACACAAGTCTGCACAATACAACAACAACCAATCTGCATACATTTATGAAGATGGAATGCTAATCTCAATTGTAAAGGTGCACTGTGTAACTTTTCGAGAAGGGAGGTGCTCATCTCCACAGAAATGTTATTGCTTAACCTTAAGTGTCTCACAGTGTAGTACGTTTTACAACTCTCATCTTGTTGCCTGGCCAGCCAGAACCACACGCTTTCACAAAACTTTACAAAGACGAGTGGGTCTGGAGTAGTGCTGGGTATCATTAAAAAGTTGCCGATATGATACGATATATTTCAAATCAATTTGATTTGGTTCAATAAAAAATAAGGGTAAATCATAGCTCTGAAACTAAAAGTCTTTGTTAAACCACTTCTTGTGCAAACTTAAAATGAAAGAAAGGCTGTCAGTCAAACTTGTTGCTAAGGCAAGAGAGCCCACTCAGGGAAAGAGGCGAGCTGATTGGTCAGTAATGTTCATATTTTGATTTTTTACAGACACATGTACTGCATTGTTTCCCAAAGACTAGGTTACTACCCTCAGGTGGGTCGCAAGAGATTTTTTTGGGTCGCCTTGTCACGAATCTGCATGTAGGTCTGCAATATACATATACATACATCTCTGCGCACACCCACACCTCACTTTTTCGGCAGTAGGCAAGGCAAGGCAAGTTTATTTGTATAGCACAATTCGTACACAAAGTAATTCAAAGTGCTTTACAGAATAAGAAATACATTACAGTACCGCTCGAAACACTGACTACTGTTTTTCCTTGTTTAAAACTTGATTACCATATTTTTTGGACCACTTAAAATCCCTTAATTTTCTGAAAAATCAACAGTGTGCCTTGTAATCCGGTGTGCCTTATGTATTAATTCTGGTTGTGCTTACTGACCTCGAACTGATTTTCGAGTCCGACAGGAGTTGACTGCATCAGCGCACAGGGAGCAAGCTGTTTTTTTTTTTTTTTTTAATCGTTTATAGTTTATGCAAATGAGCCATGTGGTTTTAAGTTTTGTTTCTGTAAACAAATGTGTGCAAAGCTGAATTAAACACTTTATTACTCAATGTATATCTGAGTCCTCCTTGTAGGAAATAAAAAAGTCTCAGTCTCAAGTGTTGTACAGAGAGACATGATCACTCAATCAACAATAAAATATCCTCATTAATGTTCAATAATGGTCTCAAATTTGTTTTGTGATTTACGAATAATGTCTATTGAAGATTTGTGACTTTTAAAATATGGTTCCCCAGAAAAATGTTTGGGATGTACTGAATTAAAACTACCATTGTAAAACTAAAATAAGTCTGACAGTAACGATAAGAGAGAGGAGCAATGTTTTTCTCATTCGGTTTCATGTTTGAGCACTAGTATACAGAAGTCCACAGTTCAGTGTCAGACTTGTGTCTCTGCTGCACTGTACAGCTCATTAGCTCCATTGGCCGCTGCAGATAAATGGGCTTAAAAGGCGGATAAGTGTTTTGCTTGAAGTCACAACAAACTGAAGCAGAAAATGATGAAGCTAACCTGTGTTATCTTCCACCAATATCCTCACACGCAACACAAAGAAACAAAGCAATCTAAAAGCAATTATTTCTGTTACAATGGTTATCAGAAAAGAGACCAGATCAGTCAGACGATTCATATTACATGAAATACAACTGTTAATGTTAGAATTTCTATAGAGTTTTTACCAAAGTACAGCATTAGAGGGGAAAATGTAATGGTTAAATATGGTTTCATCTTGATTCAGACTAGCAATTTGAATTTGTAATAAACATCTGCTAATAGGCAATAGGTGATACCAGTTCTTTGTACAAACCGAGTAACCTTTATCTACTATGTAACTTTCTGTCTCTATGGAAACGTACTTGCGTGGAGCTTTACATCGTGTGGCCTTAAACTGATCTATCTTACATTTATTCAACAGGCGTTTTATTGCTCAGATACCTTGAAAAACTTGCATTCTTCCTGTGAGAGGCATCGCTTCTCCAGCACAAACTGTTCAGGGGGACAAGAGATTTACACAGTGCAGGTAATGTGACAGGCTAACATTGTCACAACTTAAATATTACAAAATAATGGGCAGTCAGTATGTATTTATTAACATAAGAACTAGGGCTGGGTATCATTAAGAAGTTGCCGATACGATACATATCTTGATACAAAGGCCACCATACGATACATACCTTGATACACAGGCCACAACATGATACATATCTTGATACATAGGCCATGTTAAGATGCATATCTCAATACAAAGACAATGATATGATACATATTTTGATACCTAGGCCACAATATGATACATATCTCGATACATAGGCCACAATATGATACATATCTCGATACATAGGCCACAATACAATACATATCTCGATACAGTGCACTTTTGATTCAATACAATATATTTTCAAATCGATTCAATACGGTTCAATAAAAAAATAGTGGCTAAATCATGGCTGTGATACTAAAAGTCTTTGTTAAACCACTTCTTGTGCAAAGTTAATAAGAAATATGCCAGTTTTAATCATCAAAATTGTGTTAAATAAACAAGTTTCCTTCCTCTAAACAAGCAACAAAACTGTAGCTGTAACAAAATAACTTAGTAAAATATACTAAAAAATACTCTTGGCGATATATCGATAGAGCAGCTCATGATATCGATACTGTATTATCACATTAAACTATACAATATATAGATATTTCGATATTTTTGCACACCTCTATCTATAATTATACATAAAAACGCAATCCATGGTTAATTTGGAAATGTTTTGAATGTACAACCAATTTAAAATATTATTCAGATTTCTATTGCAGCTTAAAAACAGTTCCAATTTCCCCTCTCGTCCAACAATTTTAAAATCTTCACTCGTAAAGGGCCTGTAGTCTGTGATTTACAATAAGTGCACTGTCTAAATCTGTGCGTGCCTTAAAAGCTCCTCTCCGGTTACGATCCCCGAAGGTCCCGGCACTTGAACAAACGACAAAACCCACGTAAACGGCGCATTTTCTTTCCCCTACGTGCCACTACCAATCCCAAAACCCACTACTCTCTTCAGCACGACAGTCCCGTGTGGAGCGAGCGCATACTACCCCTCTCAGTCTGCTGGCGTGCCGTGCGTCCTGGATTTGTATTAGAGCTACTCCCGTCTCGCTTCTGATTGGTCCACTCGCTCCGTGCGTGCCCTCCGCGTGCACGTATGTAAATCCAGACCCGCTGGAGTGAGGTAGGGGCTGGTGGCTCCTTGCCTCTGTGTCGCACACGAGCCCGGAGAGCGGCCGAGGTAGGATCGCTCGTATCGGGGGGAGCTGTTCTTTACGCATCGGTGCTGACACTCCGAAGCCGTCCGTTGCGTTTTTTGTGGCTCTCGTTCGCCAGCCTCTCCTGCTTTTCGGAGAGGAGACCGGATTATCCAAACTTCTCAACTCGCTTCCATCGGAAATTACGCCTCGCTTTTACGCGGATTGGAGCTGGCTGGTAGGACACGCTGCCTCAGATTAACAGTAATAGTTTGTGGAGAAGTGTAACCCGGCGTTGGAACCGTAATCTCGTGTGGATTAACCTTCTGGACGGTCTGGACACAAAGGTAAAGGACATCCAAAATGCATTATTTTAAAGCTTTACGCAACAAAATACGAGAAATTGTACCCAAAGTCGCTGTGTACGTGCTCTCCAATCTTGGTTAAATTTCGTGGCTATTACACGTTTCAGTTTTGTTGATACAGACGGCTCTAGTACGCAGGGAAATATGTGGGAATAGCAAGCAAAAAGTATTCAATCTAAGGTTTTAAAAGTCAAAGAAACAGACTGTCGTTACGCATTGTCAACTGCGCGTGGAATGAGAAAGATTACGATGGTATTTTTTGCTAGTTGGAAAAATAAATGATCAGATGTGTGGATTTGGTTGTCTTGAGGAAAAAGCAGGTGGCAGAGCAGGGGTGAAAGAAAAAAAAAAAAAAAGATAATTGGAATTGGTAATGGAACAGCTTTGTAAGAGTGGAAAAAAAAGTTGTACCACAATTTACAGGCACGACTCGTTGTTTGTTGCGTATTCGAGTGTTCAATTTGTATATTTCAAAAACATGTTCTTTTTTTTTTTGCTTATTCATAATGCGGTATGATAAGATAGAGATTGAACATTTGTTTAGCTCACTCATCTTATATAAGGCACTGGCAAAGGCTAAGACAACATCAGGAAACTACAAGATGAAATATTGATTTTAAAAAGACAGATTAAGATCATTCTTTTACATTTTGGTGGAAATTATGGATTGAAAAGTATCTTAAAAGCTGAATCCAATTGGGCATAAGTTTACCGTGGTAAAATTATACTTTCTGTGACACAGTGATAGTCAGATCGCTTTTTAAAGGTGCACTATGTAACTTTTCTGGTGAGAGACCTATCATGTTATGTTATCAATCTATCTTCAGTGATGAGAAGAAAATGTATTTAGTTACAGAATACCCAAATTAAAATGTATTCTGTTACATGGCTCAATCAGAGTACTATATTCTGAATATTCTCAATACTTTTACATGGATTTGCATTATGCCATAGTATAAAAAAGATTATATTTAATTACAAACTGCATAATTTCTGTTGCTCTGTTTGTTATTAATTAATTTATGTTCAATTAGAGATAAAAAAGCATAAATGCACGCACTACGAGCTGTGTTTTCTTTTCTTTTTCTCACTAACACCGTGCAGTTCAAAGACTAAATTACACGATGAATCCTTTTAATTATAGTACTAAATGAAAGAGAAATTGAGTGAAATGAAAATGAGTAACTGTACCAGAATACAGTTACTCAAAATTAGTGTTCAGAATACATATTTTCAGTACTTTTCATGAATTCTTTTACTTCCCAACACCGTCTATCTTGCGTATATTACCGATCTGACTGGTAACTTGGTCTGGCGGCGTCAGCTTGTCTCTAATAAGAAAGAAAGGTTTAATAATAAATAATAATATTAATTTAGGAGTGTGCAAACATTTTGAAATGTCAATATACTGTATCGTATTGTTTAATGTGATGATACAATATTGATATCGTGGGTTGCTGTATCGATGTATCACAAAGAGTATTTTTTGGTATATTTTACAAAATATTTTGTTGCAGCACTACAGTTTTGTGAAAGGAAACTCATTCATGGGACACATTTGACATTTTCACTCTTTTTAATGAGTAAAATGTTTGTGTTTCATGTTGACTTTGCACAAAAAGTGGTTTAACAAAGACTTTTAGTGTAACAGCCACGATTTAGCCATTAGTTTTTATTGAAATATATCGTATCGACTCGAAGGAACACTGTATCGAGGTATGTATCGTATCGGCAGCTTCTTAATGATACTCAGCCCTAATAATAATGCATTTTCCTTTATGGGCACTCAAAGACGCTGTACAAGCAACAATTAAGACAAAACATTAAAAAAAAAAAGCCTTACTGTGGCAAAACAATAACGTTTCCTTATAGACAAGTAGAACGTAGGGGACCCTTCACTGGAAAAGTTACATTGTGTACCTTTAAAGAAGATGTATTTTACTTCTATGGGTATTAATTGCTAGCACATAACATATTTAGATCACCATGTTACCTTTAATTGTTTTAAAAATGCTAAATGCTCCCCTCCCTTTGCTCTCGCTGCCCCTTCAGAGCGCCATCACAGCACCTACTAATGAAACTTCTACACATGACTTCAGGTTTGTCGAGTCGTTGTGTAGGCTACAGTTTTGTGTCATGTTTTTGTATATTTATGAAGAATTGGAAGTTGTGTAGGAGAATGTGCGCGGACGGACGACGTAGGCTCGCGGGCTGAGCATTGCACAGAATTTTACAGCGGACTGTGCGGAGGATTCGAATAGGAGAACAGGAGGGATCGCTAAAATACTCAAATATGCACGGATGACAAACATATAAAATCGATATCGTATATTTTTGATGAAGGAAACAACATTATAACATGGCATAAGGCTGTGCAATCAGTTGAATTTTGATCGCGATTTCGATTTGTATGGCAAGTTGAAGCGATAAAGCTTAAAAATTTTTATATAAAGAAGTATATTTACTTAATTTTTAAAATATAGAGATTGTAGAACAGCTGGATATATACTTTATTTTGGATACATTTATGTTTTTCTATGCCTTATTTCATGTTCAAAGGACATTTTATTCATTTTATGTTTTATACATCGCAAAACTGGTAAGGTACACAAGGTAAGGTAAGGTACATATTTGTAGCCTATATTTGTTTTCAGAAAGTGTTTATTTTTTTTTAGAGAGAAATGCCGAATAAATGCATCATGTAACTAAAAAAATAATCGTTTGAATAATCATGATTTCAGTATTCACCAAAATCATCATGATAATTGTTTTTTCCATAATCGAGCAGCCCTAATTTGGAATAAAGCTCAAAAAATAAATGATTTTGAATACCCTCTCTTTAAATGATTACACTTATAAAACATACAAATTCCTTCTGCACTCTTTTGGAGCGATATACTTGAACTATCTGTAACTTGAACTATTTACCAAGGCTGTCTGTTACTTCTGTTGAATCATGGCATCTTTTATCATAAATTTTCCCCATTGCAGTGTTTCATATTTAAATATAAGAATGTAGCATTGGACTGAGACTAAATCCTCACTAAATTGGAGTGGACTGAAGAATGTTATTTCTATTCTATTGCTTCATGTTGACTGCGAGGGAAGTGGTCTGCTGGGATCCTCTTTGTTTTGTTCAAATAATTGATACACTTGGCTGGATTTGATCACAATTTAGTTTTTCTCTTATTGATGACAAAAGCAAATATTTTCCACCCGCTCTTCTCTTCGCTTAATGTGTTTGGCAGCTCAATTATTGGAATGAAAATCTCAGCAACTTCTAACACTGATTAAAGCTACACTATGCAGCTTTTCTTACATTATTATCACATTGCCTGGATTTCATTTCCCTCCAGCGACTAGGTCAGGAATCGGAATACACTAGATGATTCGCAAAAACCCTGGAAGTGCGAGTTCGGGCACCAGCCGATCAGTGAAGAGCCATGCCTTCTGTGTTGGCAACGATTCCCGAGATCGAGGATTTAAAGCCGGAACAAAGAGAATGTTTGGTGAATTTGATCAAGGGAAAAGGCGTTATCACCCTTCTTCCTACGGGATTTGGGAAAGCTTAATATACTAGTTAGCCCCGTTAGTGGCGCATTACATACGTCTTGACCAAAGAGAAGTGATTGGTTAAATAAAAAAATTACCCGCCTACCGTCGCGTGAACAGATTCTAACACTGTGAGGTCAGACAGTTTCTACGAAGTGAAACCGGCTGATGAATCAGGCTACTAAAAAGTATCCACTTTTGTCCAATAAAATACATTAAACAACTTGTATACTGTAAGTGGGGTTACGTCTCCACAGACCTGACCTGTAACTTGGCGTGTTAGCGTCACCTGCTTGTCTCCGTGGAGATATTTAGGCTTAAAGGTTTTATATTATAATTTTTCCAATGTATTTTGAGCATACAGTATATGAGTGTTGTCTGTATCTAATTACTTATTAAGCGTTTTATTGTCTGATAATCAGGAAGTGAGTGTTAGCATGCTAGTTGTTGTTAGATTTACCGTCATGACAAAATTCCATACTGGCTGGTCTCTGAGAGTAGTGAAAAGTGCTTATAAACTCATTGCGGTGAATATTTAGGATAAGGTAAGTGAGGAAAAACTTTGGACCACTTCAAAGTTTTTAAAATGAACTAGTTCTGTTTTTCAGGTCTTGAAGAAAGTAAAATTCAGGTACAGCACCTTTAATATTATACAGGCAAAGCATTAACATCTCCATGGAAACAGGCTGCATTCCCCCACTATAAAAAAAAAACAACAACACCTTTAAAGAGGGAAAAGAACATCCTATACTATCCTATATATGCATAAAGGATTCATGTGAGCTTTAAACCATGTCATAAAAACATACCTGGATTTGTATTTTCTTCCATTCCCACATGTTTGAGTAACACTTTATCATTAGTCTGTCTACATCTCTACCTTGTGATATTGTGAGGTGGAAGTGTTCAAGTTAACAGCTACTTTTTACCTTTTGTTCTGTAGAGACTGACAATTCCAGAGCAGAAATTATCCACAGTGGAGCACTATCTGTATTACCACATGACATCACAAGGTGGAACTGAGTGTTTTATATTTGAGAGAAGAACTTAGCCTAAATATGTAGGGTTTCTGTGTTAAAAATGTGTAAATGAAACAAAACAAAACTCCAGGTATCAAATGAAGACAAAATATAAAGCGCTTCACTCAGTCATGAAAACAGGGTTCCCACTCTTTTTCACTGTCGACATTTCAAAACTTTTCCATTACTTTTTCATGACCTAAAGTGAATTTTCCATGACTTTCTGCACCCTAAATGTGTAGAATTGATCAGACTTTTAGGGCTAAATATGAAATGTTAACCCTTTCCACTCACCTTATGGTTTGGTTTTATAGTTTTTTAACATTCAAAATACTGTCAGTGCGTTTATTGTCGTCTCTTTTAGAAATACTAAAATTCCATGACTTTTGCAAAACATTCATTGAGTTTACA